GGAGAATATTCAGCGAGTCCACCGAAGTTTTGAGTCTGTCTAGAATCACTTTTTCGGCCAACTTACCTAGAGCTGACAGTAAGCTTATGGGCCGCGAGTTCTGCGGAAACTTCGGGTTCTTACCGGGTTTAGGGAAGACTACAACTGTGGCCTGTTTCCAAATCTTAGGATTTTCGCCTAGCCTCAACATACAGTTAATTATATTTGCGATGAGATGGATCGCATCTTCCGATAGGTCACATAAGCATCTATTGTTAATTTTGTCGTACCCTGGTGCATATCTTATCTTCAATTTTGAGATGATTATGCCGATTTCATCACTAGAGCAGGGCGCGATGTCTTCATCAGGCTCTTGGTTCAGGATATTGTAAGCCTCGGTGATATGTTCTTCCTCTTCAGAGTCATCATCACAGTCTTCGTTAAACTGGAATTGAAGCTCCAGAGAATCAACAAAGACCTCGGCCTTTTCTGAATCTGTGTATGCCATGCCGGTCGCCCAATGAATGAACGGCATTGCCCATTTGCGTTTCAACCTGAAGCATTTGTTTATGGCAAAGAAGGATTTATTACAGGTTTCTAGTCCCAACAGGAATTCACCCAAGTTTTTATTTCTGAAGATACCAATCTTTCTTCTAATTTCCTTTGACAGGCGGCTGGCTTCTCCTTTACTTCCAGGATCTCCAATAATCTCGGCAAATTTACGGATTCTGTTTCGGTGCCTGATCATGTGTTTAATATGCTGAGGAATGTTAAAGAAGTTGCTGGGTTTTCTATTTTTGATAGTAGAGCTGTTGTGCAAGTAGTCTTGAATTTGATAAATAAGGTTGCGGATACACTCCTCCAGGTCCACTAAGGTTTCAGGTCGGTTCAACACACCTCCAACATCTACCAGATTCTTGAAGGCGTCCCAGTCCTTGGTATTGAACGCGGAAGTCGTAATGTTTATGAGACAGTTTTCTAAAATGAATAGTACTGGCTTATGGTCCGAATCTAGCTCGGCTAAGACTTCAGTAAGCACAGTTAAGTCAAGGTTATTAGATATATAGTGTGTTGGTTCATTAGGAACCTGTAGTTGCAGTAAGTGGTCAATGGTAAATTGAGTGATCACCCTGCCTGCAATATTTGTGCCACTATCACCCCAATTTTTGTGATGCGCATTCAAGTCACCAGCCAGAAAAGTCATCGAATTGTTATTAAATTGTGTTTCAAGGTCTCTTATGTAGGATTTAATATTAGATGGTCTGTAGACTGATGTAAAGTTTATATTACCCACACCAAACTATCTACCACCACTGTAGTTGCTTCAAGCGTTAGCAGGTTGTTAAATATAGTGTGATGTTTGATAGACTTCTTGATAATTACAGCCGTACTTTCACCTTTTCTGGACACTTTCTCTGATTTGTAGAAGTCATAGTTGTGAATTTTCAATTGCAGAGATGGCTTCAGAAAAGTATCTTGTATCAACATGATGTCTATATCCATATCATGTAGGAATTATATGACTTCGTATTTCTTGTTGATAATAGAGTTTGCATTCCAAGTCACAACTTTAAATCTGCTTAGTGGTACATTCATTTCCCAGTGAGAGTAGGTAGCGAGCTTTGTAGCATGGTCTGTATTATGTTCTTCATCACTGTGTTGAGTTGTGCTTGAAAGTTCTCCATAAGTTTCTCAAGATGAGAGGCGGGCAAAGGATTTGTAGGGGATTGTTGGGGGGTGCTTCCTGACATCACTGAGTCTGCATAGGACCCTGATGGCTTAACAGTGGAGCTTGCAAGAAGGATAGTTGGAATCGGTGTAGGGATTTTCTTTTTCTTCATATTCTGTGGAGTACAATTACACCCTCTACAGCTTTACATTTTTCGAATGCTTCACTACTTCACTACTTCGATCTTATTGTTCCTCTTAGAGGCTTTTAGGATCGTTCAACGGCATTTGTACCGCTGCAGCTTTTGAAATGTATTTTCGACAAAAGTTTAATACGTCAAGAGATTGGCAAACTTGATGAACCATTTTTGGCTTTTCGTAATCACGTATTGCTTTTACCCGATCTTCTGGAGGCTCTGTCCTATCCAAAGTATTGTGATAACCAAGAAATTGCAACGATGCAACGCCAAACTTGTACTTTGAAATGTTTATGCTTAAGTGCGTTTGTTGAAGTTTATGTAACACAATGTCTAAATGCTGATCATGCTGTGTTGAGTCCTTGAAGAAAACCAAAATATTGTCTAAGTAATTACTACGAATTCAAACATTCCCACTGGAGTGCTGACTACAGTTTTGCATACATCGTCCGTGTTCATTGGAATGTTATAATAGGCTCGATTAATGTCCATCTTAGAGAATATTGACTCCCATGAAGTCGTTCTAAGACTTGATCGGTGTACGGTATTGAATAACGGTCTCGTTTCGTGCTACCGTTCAGCTTACAACAATCACCACATGCCCTCCATCCACCTCTCCTCTTTTTAACAAAACGGATGGGGCTCGACTATGACTTAAGTTCGTTCAGTCTATGTTGCTGAGAAATTATATAGCTGTTGGCACTTCGTGGCATTGGCACCAAAACGTGAGTGGTAACAGTATAAATTGTTGCGGATTGGGCTACGCTGCCTGCTATTTGTTTAACTACAGCGAACAGATCTGATTTCTGATGTGAAACTGCTAACATTTGCTATAAGCTTCTGGATTGAAGTTTCAAGTACTAGCACTCTCGATTTTGGAGTTGGAACCGTTTTCTTCTCATGACTAACTGTCGCATCAATGCACTGTGGCGTGATCATAACATACTGCGAAGATGACATGCTGTCCATAATTCGATCGACTAACTCTGCTGTTTGGTCTACATTACTTGTATTACTTGCAGACAAAATGCACCTTAAATTGCAGGGTAGCCGTTGTAGCTAGAGGGCTGCCAATACTTCCTCAGAAACGTTAGTGACGGCTACATTTCGCATTTTTTTAAGTTGGTGCGATGGCCGTTTGTTTTATAATTCTAAGTTCACAATAATTTCACTACTTGGATTTATTTCGACTCACCACATCTTTTTTCTAACTTCTTTTTAAAAGTTACATATTTTTTGTTGTGGGACGACACTCCTCAATATATGCGACCTGATGTAAAGTGTTTGTATCTAGTGCCGTTATTGCCGTGTAAAACTTTGACACATTTCCAGTGATCCGATGCACGTGTAAACCTCCCTCTTTTTGTGCAAACCATAATTTTTAATTATGCTGACTGCTCCTACGTCCTGCTTGTATTCAAGTTGCTTGTATTCAAGTTTGTCTGCATTCATGTCGCTGCTTGCTAATACAAATTCATGCGATATAAAAATATCTGCATTGATATTTTTATATCGCAGTAAATAAAGGTGTTTTGTTCTGGATCAACGTTAAGCTGCTGCAGTTTCAATGAAGAGTTGGGATTTTTTAACAATTTTTGAAGTTCATCATCGTTGGCTTAATCTTGTTGAATTTCATGTGGACTGAAAATTGTTGGCATGTCAATCTGGTTTATTCCAGACAATCCATCAGTTACAATATTATCTTCACCTTTGACGTGAACTATGTTTGTGTTGAATTTTGGTATAAACGACAACTGTCGAAGTTGACGAGGTGAAGTTTGTTTAGTCTTCCTGTGTTATGCATATACAAGAGGTTTGTGATCGGTTTTAGTTATAAATATCTTCTCAGAATCTGTGATCTTCTCAGAAGTGTGAAAAATTGAACAGGTGAATAGACTGAAAAGAGTTCTGGATCGTAAGTACTGTAGTTACATTCCGTTGAATTTAACTTTCTTGAAAATAAACAAATAAGCTTGAATTGATTTTCAGCGAACTGTTCTAAAACAGCTCCAATCGCGGTGTCAGAGTCATCTGTTGTGAGAACTAGAGCTCCTTTGGGATCTGGAAAGGACATTCGAGTTGCTTCAGCTTTAGCTAAGCTTTCTCTGCATTTTACGAATGCTCTCTGCGGCCATGAAACTTTTCTTTCATCAGTTTTCCTCAAATCTTTCATAAATTCGTTGAGAGGTGCTTGAAGTTTGGCTGCATTAGGTATACATCTGCGGTAATAATTGATTCCACCGAGAAATCTTCGTAGTTCTTGAGTGGTTTTAGGTTCTTTATAGTTGACAATTGATTGAAAACGCTCTTTAGGTGGCTGATAACTATTTTGGTTAATAGAATAACCTAATTATTGTACTTGCTTTTCGTTAAAAGCACATTTACTGACATTAATGACTAACTTGTATTATCGAAGACGCTGATAAACTTGCTTAAGATGTTCTTGATGCTGCTCATGAGATTCTGACAATAATTACATCATCTATGTAGCTAAATACAAAGTCAATGAGCAATCTAAAATGATTTAAAAAGTGAGCGCCTATGATGGGCTTTTGTACATCTACAATTGTAAATGACCATTTGAAACATACACGTAGGTTAAGATCTAGGTTAGGTTAGGTTAGGTTACTGGGGCCGTCCGAAGACACACTTAGACCATGAGGTCCATTGTGATACCCTAAGAATTTGACACCTGTCCCTATAACCACTTGGTATTGGCTACAAAGCCATTGACACGAGCTATGGAAATAGAATCTAGCTCTCTTAATGAATAGAAAAAGTGCGACCCTAAGTAGGATAGTCTATGTCTTGCGAAGGCAGGACACTGTAGCAGAAGGTGTGTTGGTGATTCCTCTTCATCATCCTCCATGCAATGTCTACAATGTAAGGAGGTCCTGATGTTGAGTCTCACGGCATATCCTCCCAACGGGCAGTGTCCCGTAATAATTCCCACTATCCTGGATAAATTTGCTCGGGATAGATTGATTAATTCCCCCGATCTTTTCTTACTTATTTTTGGCCAAAATTCCTTGGTTTTTATGCAGTTGGTTACTGTTGACCATCTTCTTTCAAACATTTGGTATGTCCATAATTTTATTCGGTGCCGACAAGAAGCAACTGGTATACCCACACTTTCTTTTTCCAGAAGAATCTGTGCTGTCGTACCATGTCTTGCTAATTCATCTGCTATACAGTTGCCTTGGATGTCCCTATGTCCAGGGACCCAAATAATTCGTATCCGAAAATATTCAGCCATCACCATAAGTGATGTAAGACAATTCAGTACTAACCTCGAGTTGAAGGTCGACGAGTTTAAGGATTTTAAAGCTGCCTGGCTGTCAGCAAATATGTTTATAAATTTAACGGAGGAGACATTGTGTTTCAGCCAATCTGAAACTTCCAATATAGCAGATACTTCAGCTTGAAAAACGCTGCAGTGATCCGGTAGCCTGAAACTCATACTGAGATCTAGTTCAGGGCAGTATACTCCTCCTTCTACTTGTCCATCTAACTTTGAGCCGTCTGTAAAGAAGTTAAGGCGATTATCACTCTTTACAGAGTAGTTTTCCCATGTCTCCCTAGAAGGAATAAATAATTCAAGATTTCTGTCCACAATTGTAATTGTAGTACAGTAGTCTGTTATATCCGGAATGAAATCAATTTCTCTGAGGATGGAATCTTGCATCCATCCACAACTGCTTCCAATTCCTAGTTCTCTTATACGTAAAGCTGCCCCAGCTACCTCGCCTTTCGCCGCAATGTCGATAGGTAAGATATTGAAGATAACATTCAGGGCAAGTGACGGCGTTGATTTTAACGCTCCGCTTAATGTCATCAGTGCAGTCCTTTGAACCTTTTCCAATTTCTTGCATAGTGTTGACCTATTCAGAGTATTTCTCCAAAATAACACTCCATACAAGAGAATTGGTTTTACCACCACATTATATATCCATAAAATGGACTTCGGTGAGAGTCCCCATCTTTTGCCTATAGCGCCTCTACAACAGTAAAAGGCAACCATAGCTTTTTGGGTACGTGCAACAACATTTGGTCCCCAATTCAGTTTTCTGTCAATTATAAGACCTAAATATTTGGCTTTATCATTCAGAGTTAGAGTTTGACCTCCTAGGATAGGTAGTGTGAATTCCGGAATTTTATATTTCCTAGAAAAGAGCACTAGTTCTGTTTTGGTTGGATTTATTGATAATCCGCTACAATGGGCCCATTGGGATACTTTATTTAGATTACCCTGCATTACCTCACTAATTGTACTCAGAAATTTTCCCCTTGCAATCAAGGAAAGATCATCCGCGTACGCGACCACCTGACAACCTACGCTATCTAGATCAACAAGAAGATCATTAACTGCAGTTAGCCATAAGAGGGGGGAAAGTACTCCTCCTTGTGGAGTCCCCCTATTAACTTTCTTAGTTACTAGCGTTCCCCCCCATTGCGCTACGATTGTCCTATCAACCAGCAGTTGGGTAATGACTTCGATTACTCTATTGTCAATTCCTAGTTTTCTTAATGAGTTGACGATTACTTGAGGAAGGATGTTGTTGAAAGCCCCTTCCACACATCAAGAAAGGCGCAAAGGGCGTATTCTTTATGCTGTATTGAGTTTTCAATCATCCCAGTTAGAGATGATAGGTTAAGATCTAGCTTCAAGATCTTTCTGCCGTAGGTATTTATAACGCTTGAATTTCAAGTATACCATACAGTTTCATTGCGCCAAGGTTTTGTTTTGTTTGAAAAAGATCTGTACATAATACTGATAATATTGAATCTGAGTTTTTATTTTCTTTTTTTTATCATAAATATACAAACGAATTTCTTTTTTTGCTAGATAGCTGTCATTTCCCGTTTGCTCCACGGATAGCTTGTTTAGTTTCCCTGTTTTTGTGTATACCTTCTGATAAAAAAGGACGAGAGCCCTATTTTTGAAAAATTTTCGAATGGTATGTATAATAAAGACTAAAGTACAATTTTCTCAAAAAAAAATAACTGTTATGTTATTACGTCGGATATATTTCTTCTGTGAAATAAATAAACCAGATTTGTTTTGGGAAAGAAAATAAAAGCGAAAAATGAAAGTATTTTATTGTTTTAAATATTTCTAGTACATATTTCATTAGGTCGGTCAATGACGGGATATCTTTCACATCATTGTGATTTGTAATAGTTTCTGGTTCTGCTGATTAATTCTTTTACAAAAAACTTGCTAGTATTCAGACATCTACTTATCATTGTCTTTACCTTGAACTTATTGTTTATCTTAAATGAATCAAAAACAAAATAAATTGATAATTTTTGTATATATGTTGAATTTATATTTGCCGTTTTACAAGGGTCATTATATATATTTTGAGCCTAATTATGAAAAAATACTAACTTGTGATTGAAAATTGCTTTATTGTTTCTCGAAGTATTCTTCCTTATGATTAATACACTTTTGCGTATGTTCGAACTATTTGTTAAAGATTTTTTTCCAATCTTCTTCAGATACCTTTGATTTTTTGAATGTTCAAATAGTCAGTTGTTAGACGAGATGTGTAAGCATACAAGTCAATGATCATTTATTGAATTGATCATTATAACTATTGATCAATTGCATCAAAATATTTCTTACGGGATATTGTTTTGATACAATGGTATTGTTTTATGTTTGCAAAATAATATCCCGTAATGGATATTGTTTAAGAGTTATAATTATTGTAAAATTAATTTTAAGTTTAGTTTGAAATACGCCGCGTAAGCGACAACAATTAGTAAAAATACTATTAATAATAAGATTATAAAAAAATACTATTTTAATAAATAAATTAATTAATATAAAAATTATTAAAAAATATTATTCAAAGAAATAAATTTACACATTGTCTTAATGGAGAATGATCCGACGACGCTTGTTTGTTTTCTGTATTTCACTAAAGACTTCCGGTAAAAAAATGGTTGTATACCATTCGGAATTAATTGTGTTACGTTCCTATAATAGTGTAGTTGCCACATGACCAGTTTTCTCGAAAAAACATGCGACCTTTTGTTTCGAAGTACTTCAAGCGCGAATTTTTGTTAGATTTGGTTCATCTTAAAACACCCATACAATTGATTGCTGTTTACGTTTTGGCTCATAAGCATACATCCATGATTCGTCACCTGTTATAATATTATACGAATATAATTACTCCTCAGTACGAGATCACCATCTTAGTTTCTTACTTACAGGCTTCAGAGACAATAAATATCTAATTTTCAACTGCACTGGTTCGCAATCATCTAAAGCAATATTCACATATATATTAAATAGTCTTAAAATCAGATCATTTATTATAAACGAATAAGATTTTGCTTTTCCCAAAAAAAAAAGAAAAAAAGAAATTGTTTTTGTAGATATATATACATATATAATTATTTCCCTACTATTTATTTAACTTAACTTTTTTTGTTTTTATCGCTTACTTTTTAAACCTAATTAGAAGTATACATCAAACCTCCTTCTGTCACAACTATAAGTTCAGAAGCAGAAGTAAATAAATGTTGAATTGAATTGAAATATTATACGAATATACGTCTTTCGAAGCACCGCCATTGTACTTCTTGAACATTTGTGTGCACCAATCGACACGAGTATCTTTTTGAGATTTTGTCAAATAATGCGGGGATCCAACGAGAATAAATCTTTCTCACGGTTAAATGATCGTGTAATATTTTATATAAGCTGGTGAAACTAATAGAGTTCTCTCAATCTCATAGTACAAGTGTGTCGCATGACAATCTTGCATTATCAATTTTCGAACAACAATTGATTTTGGACGATTTTGGACTTTTACGAATTTAAGTGCGGTCAGTGAGCAAACTGCGACCACGATTACAATGATTGTACTAGTGGCAGTGTTTCACAGTGTCAAAGGATGAAACTTTATCGCCAAATGTGGAAGTAAGTTGATCGATGTTTCTTGTCTTGATAATCCACGTCGTAAGTCGTAACAAATCATCGTACAAAAATTTTCTCACGTTAATCCCATTATTTCACAAACATTCAATTTACAAATCAATAAATAACACAAATAACGCGCTTTTGACAAAAAATCTAAGGTAGGTTATCATTAATAATGTTAAACTTTCGTATGAAAACGTCAGGTAACACCTGACAACATTCAATGTCAGTGTTTTCAGCCAAAGCTCAAAATATAAATAATGACCCTCGTATTGTTATTGTGCTGATATATTTTTTTGTTATTTGTATTGAAATAGTGGCATATTATAAAAATATTACATCAGTACCCTGAAAATAATTATATACCATACCATATACCACATCCCCAGTGTAGCTAAATCAACTTCAAATTATATATTTCCCTCTAGTATATAGTTAGGAGATAATATTTAGTTTTGTGTTGTTTTGTATTTTCCAATTTCTGGAAATTTTTTTTCCTCTAAAAACTAAAAAAAAACAAAATTAATTGAAAATATTATTTTACTTAAATTTTTTTATAGAATTATAATAAAACTTTCTTTTACATATAATCATCCGAGATGCTTCTTGTTTTGAACTCATATTTGATGTAACTATGTCATTACATAGTGCCGAAAGACATGTTTAGGAAGAAATAACGCGCCTTTTTTGAACTCTTTTAGTAAGTAAATGTTTTTAACAGTCGCAGAAAGAAAAATTAGTATGATGATTCCGCATTTTTATTTTGAAGTTTATGAGCAATGTACTTAAAAATAAGAAAGAAGGAAAACTTTTTTGTCTTGCATTAATGCAGGACAAAATCAGGTAATAATTTTAGGACGTTCTAATTTCTAAGAGATCAAAACTTTGAACATCCACTATGTTAGTCAAATGGGTTAACAATAAAATTGATATCACAATAAATATACTAATGTTAAATTAAGTTTGTATAACCAAATAAAATGAAGTCGGGTGAATTGCAATTATCTAGGTGTAGATACAATTCTTTGTAATGACTTTTTTAATCGTTTCCAAAACATTTTGCATTCTTCAGAATCTGACTGCTTACATTCTGAGAGCGATGGCCACTTAATGTACGTTTTTACTTCCATTAGATATTGCAGATTCTTTGGTCTTTTGTTACGTGGTATATCTTCCAAAAATACCAGTATTAAATGCTCTTTATTGACTTCAAAAATTCTAAATTCAAAGTTGTTATTATGAGTGCAGTCACAAAAATATTAGTATACCTATGTTGAGCTAAATACATCTCAAATTGACACCAATGACTTAAAAGGAAATTACTAGATATAATTAACATCATTGCTCGAGAACGGTCCATGCATGAAATTATGTTGTCCAGAATTGTCATCCCAACCTAGTTGCATATAAAATGATATAAAATAAAAACAGACCATTAATTATTTTAAGTTTCGTATTTATACCTCGAAATCTCGTTCGTGCATACAAATGGAAAGGTCACCGACTTCTTCTACATTTGGCAACAATTCCTCCAAAATCCATTGCCGATCATTTTGACAATAACTTATAAATATATCGTATACAAGATTAGGATCGTTTATAGCCAAAGCATTCAATTTATCAATATTATCTTTAGTAACTTCTGATACTAGTGCTGCCGATTTAAGTGATGAGTAATAATAATAAATATGCCACCGTTTGTAGTATATCACTATACCAAGTAATGATAGTCCTAATAAAGTAGAAACACAAACTATAATAGTTTTCATAAGAGTCTGTAATCGGTCAGTTAAATCTTCAAACACCTGAGAAACGCAATTAAGTTCACCGAAATTCATTCGTTGTGTTTCATTAAAACAATAATAGTCTGTGTCTTCATAATCTAGCAGCTGAAATTTCAGAGTTGTGCCATTCAATTTATCATATATGTAAACTGGTTCAGAACCTGAACATTGAGCGGAAGTGTCAGATCGCAGCACTCGAAAAAAATGGGGAATAACACGAAATTTTTGTTGTTTTTTTGCAATCTCATATTGCTTAATATTATGAAAACTGCGATTCAATGAAGTAAAATATCTTTTCGTTATATAATGAGAAAAATCTATGAAATCATTTGCATTAAGAGTGTAATTAGTCGCGAAATTTGTTCTTCCCATAACACTTCGCATACCAAGAGTTAAGTTTGATGATATGTATTTATTAATGAAACTTGAGTTTTTTATTATAAAATCTTGAGCGTCTTCAATTAAATTACGGGCACATTCCGCTTCTTTATTATTGGCTGCAGAAATATCAACCAATTCTCGCAAGAGACAATCACAAACAAAGTTATTGTCACCAAGGCTAAGATAATCCAATAACTGAAAATCCTTTAACATTTCTGATGTTAATATGTTAATATTATTTCCACGAAGATTTAATACCCTTAGCTTTAGATTGTCAGTGAATGCACGAGTGTACCAATTTCCGATGTAGTTTGCACTCAAATCAAGAAATTTTAAGTTTTTAAGTGTATTAAATACATCTGTCGTAATAGTATTTAAATTATTACCAGATAAGCCGAGAACATTTAATTGTCGTAAGCCCTTTAACCAGTTTAAATCCTTTATATTAGATGATTCAAAGAACAAATATTTTAACGTATCTGCAACGCCATCAAATGCATCATCAATTATATTATATGAAGCGTATGGATTACCAGAGAGATCAATTCCAACTAAAGCTGTATTTTTAAAAATAGCACTTCCAACCATTGGAAATGAGGTGTAGCATAAACTTAAATACTTCAGTTTTTCACTTAAATGAGCGAAAGCTACAGCACTGCTTCTGGTTATTTTTGTATGTCCCAAATCCAGGTATAACAAGTTCGGTAAGAACTTAAAGGTAAGTTTTTGAATTTTTACTCCATAAATTAGGTTAATAACAGCTTCAATTGTAGGCAAAGGCAAGTTATAATTAAAGTCTAAAACATTTGTAAAAGATAGATCCAAATATTGAAGTCCACTTATATATTGGAAGGTATCGGATGGAATAGTCATCATTTTATTGTGTGATATAAAAAGCTTACGTAACTTTGTCATGTTTCGAAATATATTTGCAGTTAAAAATTCGATATTGCAGCTACTAAGATCCAACTCGAAAAGTTGTGGCAATACTGGAAATGTCGCCCAACGAATATCATCTTAAAAAACAAAAGCAAGAAAAAAATTACTCAATATTTTGGTATAAATATATAATATATGTATCATTACTTATTAAATTTCACATATTTATGATCAGTATACCCATTTGAGGACAGTGAGAGTATTAGATCAATCGTTGACAAACGTTAGAAATTAAATATTGAGTTGAATTATCCACGAGTAAGACATGGATGAATATATTGCTGCTAATCAAATAATAATAAATTAAGTTGAAATTCATTTTGTTTAAGGCAGGCTACTAGAAGAAACTAAATTTTTAATTTTCGGTGTAACTGAAGACCACTGATTTTTATAGTACATTATATATCAACAACTTCTTTTTAGTTTGCAAATTCTAATATATACCACCAGAAAGTAATAAAGTGATTTAAGTTTTGGAATAATTAAAAATACTTAAGAGAAATTTTAAAAAAAAAGTTGTCCTGCAAATAAATAAATTTTCGTAATAATTATTCTTATTTTTCTTTTTAGTGTTGCTTAAGCTTATTGCTTTTTCTTGAGTAAAAATATTCCCTTTATATCTAATCAAATCAAAGTACCAGGTGTATTGATGTTTTTTCGCGATTTTTTTTTTTTTGTTAACAAAAAAGAGTAATTTTCGAAAGAAATTAATTTTATTTAATCTTGGCAATCGGTTTCTGCACATTTCACCCATCTTTTAGAAAATTTATAAACACCATGACAGAAAAACTGCGACATTAGCGACAAACTATTCGTAGAGCTACTTCCCAACTTTCTCGAAATTGTTATTATCTAATATTTATATCTAATCAAATCTCACTGGTCATGTAACAAGATCACTTTGCCACATCTTCTGTCCCATTCCGGTCGTCTTTCGATCAATGCATTATTTAAATTAATCATTTGTGGCGATCGCGCTGTGCATTAACGGTTTCGACATTAATGAAATCCGGTTTCACATATCTTAATCAAAGAAGAGTATTCAGCATATGTTTTTAAAAACAAACGAATTGTTTCAAGCACCTTTTTCTTTTGATTAAATAAGAAAAGCAAAGCCGCAAATGTTCTTTTTTAGGTACAAAATTCGACTTAAGCATTGAACGACAAAACAAAGATACTAGTTTTGCATTATAATTACAAGGTGAGATGAAAAAACTGCAACCAACTTCAGACTGCTGTCATTTCTAAACCGCTCGTCCCACAGCTGTCAGATTTATTCTAGTGACAGCTCATTATATTGTTTACAAGCGCACAAAAGCATTTTGGTGGGAATTTTTCAAAAAAAAAGTTATTTGTGATGGAATTCAAGCGTGATAGTGTGATTGCTTTGCATTTGGCTGGAAAACCACAAGTGGCTATCGTTAGAGCCCTCCAGCATTTAGAAGTGAATAAATGTTTTGTGTCTCGTACCATCGCTCGTTACCATGATACTGGTAGCGTAGCCCGACGTCAAGGAAGTGGACGAAAAAAAACAGCAACATCGGCAGAAATGGTTCGAAAAGTGAAAAAGCGAATTGAACGAAATCCGCGTCGCAGTGGACGAAAAATGGCTCGTGAGCTGAACATATCGCAATATGCCATTCGGCAAATATTGAAAAATGAGCTTGGACTAAAGCCATTCAAGTTCCAAAAAGTGCAAGATCTTACTGATGCGCAAAAAAAAGTTAGACTCGAAAAAGCTAAAGAGTTGTTTCGCTTGGCCGAAAGTGGTGAACTGCCGAATTTGGTTTTCTCCGATGAGAAACCATTCGTTATCCAGCAGTTTGTAAACAAACAAAATGATCGTGTTTACTTGCCAGAGAGGTCAGCTGAAAATTTGCAACTTCGGTTGGCCATCACAACTCAAAAGCCGGCCATGGTGATGGTGTGGGCCGCCATAACAGCCGATGGTCGCTCGCCGCTCGTATTCATCGACCGTGGTGTCAAATTAAATGCGCAAATCTATCGCGAAAATATTTTGGAGGGAGTTCTGAAGCCCTGGGCACGCAAACATTTCGGCCGCAGACCTTGGACATTCCAACAGGACTCAGCACCATCGCACTCAGCACGCGCCATCCAAGAATGGTTAAGAAATGAGGTTCCTCGCTTCATTTCCACCGCACAATGGCCACCAAAATCTCCGGATGCCAATCCGTTGGACTATTGTGCCTGGGGTATTTTGGAAAGCAAGGTTGGAACTAAAAAATACCAAAGTGTCGATCATCTCAAGCAAGCGCTTCGCCGAGAATGGGACAAAATACCGCAGAGCCACTTTCGGGCCAAAGGTGGCCAATTCGAACAAATCTAAACCGATTCTCAAATTTGATGTTATTTCCGACATTTTTTGCTTTCATTCAATAAAATTTAAAAAAAATGAAAAAATTATGGCGTTTTACTTTGTTGCAGTTTTTTCATCTCACCTTGTATATAAAATCAGATTTTTTGAGAAAGTTTTTAAACTTCTGCATTGGTGTTGTCGTTATATTGGACACTGGAAACACAGGTCAATTTATTGAAAGATGTTAGAAATTTTCGAATTATTAAATACGAGGCTGAGTGCTTATTAGAAATTTGCTTGTACCTTATTGTTTGTGAACATTGAGATATTCACACCAGGAATTTTCTTTTTTTCTTATTTTAAAAATTTTCTAGGAAAAAAAGTTGCAAAAAATTCTAAGTTTATATTTATAAATCTAACAACATTCATTCTTCTTATTATTAAGAATATTATTATCGTATTAATGGAAAAGTAATACCACAATGCAATGACACCAAATACTTAGGAATGCACCTCGATTAAAGGCTTACGTGGAAAAAGCATATAGAAACCAAAGTAACCCAAATTAAACTCAAACAACAAGAACTAAACTGGCTGATAAATAACAATTCTAAACTTAATCTCACCTATAAAGTGCAACTTTACAACACAATGATGAAACCCATATGGACCTACGGAATTGAACTCTGGAGCTCAGCTTCTCCATCAAACATTGAAAAACTTCAAAGAAC